TGTGTTTGTGGATCTTGCAATGGGATCATTAAGTTTTCACTTAAAGTGTAACCTGAATCTCCTAGTAACAGACTGTTACTATATGAGCGTTCATGAAATCTGACTTTTAACCATAATAGCAAATAATCTGATATTTTTATCGATTGTCAAAAATATCAATGTCATATTTGCATATTGGCATATTTCAGATTTGATATGGATAAAAGACTTATAATATTAAATAGATCGGCAACTTATAATACATTTCGATTTTATTATACAAGGGAACTCCTGGTGGTCGGAGGAAGAAATACTAAGAGAACAGAGAGATGCGGGAAGGGGTGTTGTTTTAGTTAATTTAAATATAACATAATAACCTAATATAACCTAACTCGTCTGTTTTTCAAAACACTATTTTATTATAAATCTTTAAACGTATATGCGACAAATTGCAAAGAGACTGAATCAATCCTTTTTTAACTTCCCTGCAAAACTTAAGAATAATCTACATTTTAGTTATCATTATTCCAAAAGTCCTAACTTTACACTTTTAACAACGTCGCCTTTTACTTATTTCAAAACCTATCACCATTTTCGTCAGAAGAATTTAATGCTTCATATTCTGAATTGCATCATTCCGTGTCTGAAGCTGATTTACTTCGATAATGTGGTTTCAAATTGACCTGGATTGCCTTTTCTATGCTATATCGAAAATTTACGGTGTTTTCTTGTACTTGATGCACTGTAGTATCTGCAACATTTTCCTGTAGATGCACTATAGCATCTGCAACATTTCCCTGTTCGTCCAGACGAGCGGTGCCGAGTTCCTGTTCAGCAACCTTAATGATTTTTTTCCTTTTTCTTTTTATTGTGGACTCCCGTGGAACACGACTAAATTTTCGTTTAGGGTCGACATGGCAGTCAAATTTATGGGGTATAATATTTTTTTTCAGGAATTTTTTTCCACCCACAAGCTTCCACTTTACATAGTTTTCCATGTTATGTTCGAGCTGTACTAAGTAGATAGGTAAATTACTATTAAATAATAATCACAGCACAAATTACTCAGTGTAAAGTAAGGTAAGTTGGTGATATTTTTGCTTGAACATGGGCAATTTGAATTCGTATGAAGATATATTATTTTTCCAACTTACCTATCCGGAAGGTTTATGTTTCAAACAATCGCTTATATATACAAAACGATAAGATGATGTCAATTTTGACAGAAAAAATACATTTGAAAAAAATACAAATTGGTTAGGTAATTTGGTTATAGGTAAGTTAATTTGGTGATAGTGGAAAGGTATTTTGGTGATATATGAAATTACGAGCAGTTGAAAATAAAATGGCTGAAAATTTTTAAGTTTATTACAAAACAAATATTTTACCTAGTAGAAATAATAATTATAATAATAATTTTTATTCTGAGTCGTTTGAAGACTGCTCATCACAATCGTCGCACAGTGGGGCCAAAAGTATCAAAACTTACCAACAATTCTGGGAAGCATTAAAGCTTGTACTTTTGTTTTCTGAAATGTATCTAAAATGTAAATGACACAAATTAATAGCAGCTGAGATATTACGGAAACTATACAGGGTGTTTCATTATAACGGACACCTTTTAAGGAGGTAGATGCTATTCCTTAAAAAGTTGTAAGAAATTTAAGTAGTAAAACAGCTTAGTAGGTAGATACATATATTAATAACTATATTTTATAACAAAAATATCTCTTCTTGAAATTACACTTGCTGAAGGCAAAGTAAATTTAAAAGTGGCGAAATGAAAAAAAGATAAAACAAGACGAAATATCTTGGTACAGGACACACTTCAAACATTATCAAAATACTAAATTAACATTTTTTTAATTAATTAAAAATAATAATATTTCGGTGGTTTGATAATGTATTAACTGAAAATAGAGACACTAACCTAAGGTTTATAATACTTCATTGAAGAAATATTATTTTAGGCAAAATTACAGTCCAAAGAGTTATCACTATCAGAATCTTTATTAATTTGGTCAACAGCATCCACTGCCGATGTCACTGGTGGTAAAAGCATATTTAAAGCTTCGCTAGAAAAATTCTTTCTCTTTAATTTTTGAGTTTTTCTAATGCCCGTAATAAAAGGATCTGAAGAGACAAGAAGCCTCTTGAAAACATCTTCATTAGTTTTCTCTCTAGCTGTTTTTCTAGCAAAGCTTTCTCGATACTTTTTAAAATCTTTGTTTCTACTTTCTGCAGCCTCTTCTGAGAGCTGGCCAACCGGAAGTAGGACGGAACGAATAATTTCTGCACCGTGAATTAAAATTAGATGAACTGTTGGCGTCATATAATACCAAGGATATTTATCTACGAGTAATTGTGCTGTTTTCAGACAATACATTTTAAATAAATCGGCATTAATTTGATGATAACTGGTAATGACTTCCAAAATAACACTTAATTTTTTTAAGATCTCTAAACCAATATGTGTTATTTTAGAGGAAATCTCTGCATTCTCAAAGAAACGTCTTGCCGTATTTCCGTCATTGCTACTCCCATATGCCGGTTTTGGTTGATCAATTATTAATCCTAGTTCTTGTTTAAATTCTCGTTGAATTCTCTTTTTATTTTCAAAAACTTTTTCTTTATCAGTAACGTTTCTAATTTGCCAACATTTTACTGGTATTTTATAAGAAAGGTGCAAAATATATTCAAAAAATCGGATACGAGAGTGCAAGACGGGAATGGCAAAACGGTATAAAGAAGTATCACAAGGTTTTGATATCATTAATTGAATGTTATTGAAATCTTTTTGTCCAGAAGAACAAATATAACATTTTGCGTACTTTTGTTATTTGTTAACGCATTTCGTATTTTACCATCAATCATGGCTAAAATTAAGATGTATTTAACACACACAGTTATGTCACTAATTTCAATTGTAGTTTCCTGAAGACTTTTTATTTGATTTTCTATAAAGGTTTGCTCATGTTGTGATGTTTCCGTGGTTTCCCGAGTAAACTGAATCCGGATAGGGCCAGAGTATCGCGGAGAAGACGGACAGGGGTTTTGCCAGATAACTTGTGTCGGGTCTTTTGAATTGGGGCTTCCACATACTAGTTTTATGGGCACCAGCCAGGTTACAAATGCACTTGAATCACTATCACATTCATTTTCCAATTTTTGTTTATAATTTTTTTTGTCCAGAAGAGCCATCAAAACCCCATTTGCATATTAAGAATACCTTTTTGAATATTTTTCATTCAAACCTAGCCAGAATTTCTTCTTGTAATAACAATATTTTTTTGGTGGTGTGCTGAAGTAGAGATTGAAGTTCAACTTCTGCACAACTGGAACTAACTTTTATACCATTAGGGTAACATGCAAGCTTGGCTTGCTGCACAACTTTATATGATGGAAATCTGGCTTTGTCATTTTCTCTAATTATATCTCTAATTATATATTGATTACGAGATAAGTTCGCTTCCACTAAAACTGAAAGTGCCTCCTCTGGGGGCAACTGTGTATTTGCAGTCGTAACTTTATTTAAAGCACTTATATATTCGGAAGCTCTCGCAGGATTGTTAAAAATTTCTTGTAATATTTTGGAGGCTTGCACATTACCAGATTTTCTGAGCTCCATTTGAGCCGCATAACAGATAACCTCGACCGAATTCTGCTTGCGCAAGTCAGCAGTTTTCTGACGCTTATTACTATCTGAACTACATGAAAAATCAGTCAAAGGGCGACCAATTTTTGATTTGTCTAAAGAGCGTGTGTAGTTGGTAAAGATCATTTTGGTATCTAGCCAAGTTTTATTGGTTTTCCCATAAACTGCCTTAACTCTGCAAGCTTTGAGCCATTTTGTTTTAAAGTCAAAGATAAATTTTGAAATCTGGTTTGAAATAATTTGAAACTTATCAGTTGGACAATTTGTTAAATCTCTTATGTATTCTTTAAGATATGTGCACTGTCGGTTTGTTTCTTTGACGGACATTCTTGAATCTTTTCCCACAGATCTCTTCGACTAATTTCTGTGTTCAAATAATCTGAAACAACAAACGCAAATTTTGCAAATAAGTTTATTTTTCCTGAGCTATTTCTGCAACACCTTGTAGACGAATCTCTAAAAATTAGGCAATTGTTTTGCTAAACATATGATTTTTGACATTTTAGGATTACTCAAGAGGTAACAAACCAGGATAAACAAAATTGATAGAAGAGTTGCCCAACTGCCAGTTTCAGTAACAGGGTTACAAAAATATCATGCTCTTGCGCCTGCCTAAATAAGAGCATTATAAGCAAAAAGTAGTAGCTAATTGCAATACGACTATACATAAGAATGTCCACGAAAAAAAACTATACCAAAATTTACACTGAATACGGCAGAATTTGTTACTTTTTGTTTAAAAGAAATCCTAGGTCTAAATAAATTTGTTTATTTTTGAATATTTCATAGAAATGTCTTCCCGGAAAATAGTAACATATAGCAATATATATTTTTTATATACAATAGTAATCTACTTACCACGCTGATTATTTTGCATGATTATTATCAAAGTAAATTCGATTTTTATAGCACAAACAGAGTACCGAATTTATCACTAATAATTGTCTCAAAACATTGTTAGCAATATACGCATTTAAGACGCCAGTTTTGACAAGCTTTATCTTTTGTTTTATGACGCGGAGAATTCAAAGCTAATGTGATTTCGAAAGAAGGGTTTATTGCAATAGGTTTAAACCGGTAATTTTTGTCAGTTACCTAAATTTTGATTTTGGAGTTTTTTGTGAGTTTAGCCTATCGTGACCCCTCTGTGCGTCACAAAAAGATGTCTCCATCTCCATCTCTGATTCCGCAGACACCACAGTGCCAATCATCATCATTCTGTTCTTTCTTGTTCTTTTTTGTGGACTTTCCTTTCGAAGAACATTTTATGTTAGACACTCTAGAGTTTACTAATCCTGAAGGTCCTGTTTGTGGCTGTCTTGATAATTCCGGATCAGTTAGCCATTTTGCACTGGAGTCTCTGGTTTTAGTCCGTCGTGTTACTTTGCTGGCCAAACTTGCAGAAGGCAGTAAAAAAATTGTCGGCGCTGAATTTCTCCAAAAGGGGATCAGAAGGAACAAGATACTCATTTTTAGTAATTGATTGATCATTCAAACGAGTCTCTGTTAACTTTGAAGGGGCTATAGCTTCGGACAAGATAGCTTCTTTATTTAAAGAACTGATTCCACTTTTCCGAACATGTTCAATACTATTGGGGGTAAAACTTTTAATCATTGCTACAGCAAAAAGTTCGTTAAAATAATAGCGGCTGGGTTTTTCGTCGTTTTTTTCTTTCATGTGATCATTTAAGCAGTTCGTCCAGGCGGATTTTAGGGGTCGATAAACGCCCACATCGAGGGGCTGAAGAAGATGACTTGTGTGCGCTGGAAAAGTGAAGAGGTGAAGATCATTTTGCTTTGCTAGTTCTAAGACAGCCAAAGACAAATGTGAAGCATGAGAATCCATCAAAAGAATTAGAGGTCTTTCTTGTGGTACAGAATTAATAAAAAACTGGAACCATTCTAAGAAAATGTCCGAGTTTATCCAGCCTTTCGGTGACAGTTTTATTATTGTGTTAGGAATGGCTCCACGGGCTAAGTCGGGATTCCAACGCACACCTTTGAAAATTACTAGAGGGGGGATAAAGGAGCCATCATCACAAATGCAACCGAGAACCGTAGTTGTTTCTCCCCTATCTGCGTAAGTCCTTTTATAAACATAGCGCTTGCCTAAGGCCGTCACAACTTTGTTCGGCTTTACTACAAAAGACAACCCTGTCTCGTCACAATTCCAAATTCAGCCTTTCATACCTTTAATGCCCAATTTTGTAACAAGAGCCTCTAATTTTGTATAAAAATCAGCAAGCATAGTAGGATTTGCCATGGAGGCTCGATATGCCGCTAAGTTTTCTGGTACACGTAATGTTAGCCCATGCCTTTTTTTAAAGTTTGTCCACCACCATTTGCTAGCTATTTCATTATCTTCCATAAAAAATTTGACGACCAACCGATTTTGCGACCGAAAATGCTAGTTTTCTAATATTGTGGACGGTAAGACCAAATCCTAATTCTTGCATGGATATAATATAATTATATATACGGACTCCTAATTCTGCCGGTAGAGCAAAGGGTCTTCCCAACTTTGGTAAATCGTCGATCACAGGAATACCTTCCGCATTTTCAATCTTGATTCCAAAAGGGGATCAGATTTGATCTTGATTTAAAATTTCTGTGCAAGACTGTTATAACTTAAAATATTATTTTATTCGACATAAAAATTAAGAGAAAAAAAGTTACATTTAATAATAACTCTGTATTTAGCATAAAATTAAGCAAATATTGCACTTACTTTAATATTCAATGGCTTTATATCAAATTGTAACAGTTTTTTATAAGAAACGCCACTTCACAAATAGTTTTATGTGGAAATGTATCTATTTTCCCGGCGCGGCGTCGACGACACTACTCCGCCAAAAGTTGGTAACAAACTAAAATGTTGCTCCAGTGTTGTCGAACGTCAAAATACTAAATCGGGAGAAACCGCCGCTCAAAATAGGTAGATTACTAGGCAAAATCGGTAGGACATAAAGACTAAAATCCAACGTTGTCATGTTTTGTATAATTTTATAAATAAATTTTAGATCGGTAAATCAAACATATTTTATTAAAAAAAATAAACATAATAAAAAACTCAAGAAAATACAAACATTATAAATATAACAGAAAAACGGTTTAAACGGAATTAACGATTTGGGTCGTACCAATATTCCTTGAACATATTTGAAGTCAATTGTTTGTCAATATTAAAATCATAGCAATTAGCCGGTTTTATATGTCGTCGAGTATGTAAAAGCCCAGTGACTGTTTCCGTGTTAAGTGTATTTCTTTGTGCTGTTTTCATTCGGTTTATTGCTGAAAATGTGCGCTCAACATTGGCGGAAGAATGGGGCAATGATAAAATCTTGAAAACCAAATTGGATAACGAAGGAAACATTAAATTTCCTTCGCCATTTTCTAGCTAGCTTATTTTTTCCCAAAATAATTCCACGTCGTCAGGAAATGTTTTCATTTGTTCATTGTTTCCTAATTCTCCACTCTGTATCAATGTCTTGAAAATCATTGCTTTCAATTAGTTTTGGAAAAAAGTTAGTAGTTGCCGTTTTGCCACTTTTAACAATAGCTGCCTCAAATATATTTAGCTCTTTGAGTGGGTTATTTTTTAACGGAAATCGATTGATTATGTGTTCGCATGATTCGATATAGAAATCCAAGCTCTTAATCTAAAGAAATGTATTTGATCTTGAGTAAGATTATCGCTACTTAGTAAAGTATTAGCTGCCAAGGTACCATAATATATGTCTTCTGGTTTCAAAAAATGCCGGGGATTTTTAAAATCAACATTCTCAATAGGCGTTATAGATAAGTAATCCCTTTTCAAAAAGCTATCAAACAATGTTTTTAATGTTTGGCATATATTTGCGTATAGAACGTGAGTTTTTGGATGTTCTGCCTGCATTTCTTTATTTAGGTTTGTGAATAGTGGCAAAACAAAACCTAAAAATTGCAGACACAATATTGTTGTTGGATCCTGAAGTTTTTGTAAAATATTTTCTGATGCCAAAAGAGCTTTATTAGAAACAGCATCAATAAAATATATTTTCAGGGCAGAATATTGTTCAATAACTCTTTTTACTGCTACATGAACAGACAACCAACGAGTTTGACAGGGATGTAGAATTTTATGAATTTTTAAATCGCAGAAAGTTTGAAATTCTTTAAATTGGGATACACTTTTTTGACTGGATGCGAAATAATTGTAAGTAGGTGTTTTTTACCAATTCTAGACCACAAGATACAGATACACCCCAATTCTGGCACACAAGATACAGATACACCCCTCATTCTCTGGTTGTCCCCCCACCCACGATCCTGACCCGAAAGATACAACATCCTCCCACCGTTTGCTATCCCCCTTCCCCTTCGCTTGCATAAGGACATGAAACCAAGAAAATTCACCATCACTGAACCTTTTATTCACTACCTACAAAAGCATCAAAGAAGTTTGGTGGTTTCAGTACTTACAATCTCCGACAAACAAAAATCAATCATAATTCAAAAAGATCATCAGTATTTTAAAATGAGTTTAGCTAGTGCAAATATTTTGTTAGCACATATTAATGGTAAAAAACAACTTACAGATTTTACCACAGAAGAACTGAAATTGCTACCATTTGAATATTTAATAAAGAATGCAAATCCTATTGAACTTTTAAATATATGGGGGAAATTACCAATGGATTATAAAGATCACTTTTATCTGCAGATTAAATTACCATGTTTCGTACATTACAATCGTCCGGAATGGAGAACCCACTTTGATGGACCAGTCAGTGCACAAGAGAAATGCTATTTTTGTAATCAATTTCTATAACAAATTGAGTTGTAAAATAATCAACAAAATTAATAAAAAATAGGATGGATAATTTTTTCAATCACATACTACCTCGTAATATTTTAAATTTCTTGTACAAAATCCCCCTCATTCTCTGGTTGCAAAATCCCTTGACCATTATCCCCCTACCCTTATATCCCGCTCTCTCATGGCGAACGATGCATTCCTTTAGTAGGTTATATTAGTCATCAACCCGTCTGTTTGTGTATCATAAATATTCAGTACTTTTTCACGGTATTTTAACGGTTTTTTTAATTGAAATCATCTGTTGGTGCATCATAAATATTCATTATTCTTATGAGGGTTCGTAATCGTCCTCCCAGACAAATTTATGTTTTTTATATTTATTATATAATCTAGGCAATAAAATTTCTAACAAAACATAGTATCGTGCTGCATAAATTAGAATTATTCTCATCGGTGGAAACCAATGAAAGAAATAAGACACTGTGTGAATTAAAAAAATATAAAATTGATTTGTTTTCTCCCACTAAAAATTAATTTTTCTCAAAGTAGTTAAATATTACTTATCATACCAAAATACTCTTAATGTATTTTCACTAATGTTCAATTTGCATAAAAAATAATTTATAAGTAAATACGGTTAAAAAAAGGATTAGTTTTATCTAAATCATAAGATTTGTTTATTTAAAAAAATACAAGAGGATTATTGGGAAAACATAAAATACAAAAGATCAAAAACTTACAGAATCTACATATGAAATATTTAATGTTGGTAAATAATTTTTTGGCATAAGAAGTTAGTTTATAATTAATTACAATTAAAACAAAACATAGGATTAGGTATTTGTTTATTAAAAAATACAAGACGATTATTGGGAAAACCTAAAATACAAAAGATCAAAAACTTACAGAAACTCTATATGAAATATATATGAGAAGTTAGTTTATAACTAATTGCGGTTAAAAAAGAATTATTTTTAGTCATATTTAATTACAATTAAAACAAAACGTAGGATTAAATATTTGTTTATTAAAAAAAATACAAGGGGGTTAATATGAGACAACCTAAAATACAAATTTTAAAGCGTAAAGTTATGACAAATGTTAATATGATTAAACAAAATTATAATAGCAAATATATTTTGATGAACACTTTTACATTCTAATACATAGATTTTTTAGATTTCTAATATTTCAAATAATTTCTCTTGTTGGGATAATAGATTATAATTATTAAGTGTAATAGTTTCACGTCGTTTTAAAATAGCTAAACAGTGTTTGCATTTAGTAATTAATTCCAAAATGTATTAAGTTTTTAGTTATTAATTCCTGTTTTTGTTTTATTTCAGCAATTCTCTAAGGTCACTGTTTTTAAAAAAGTTGTTTCACATTATGTTTATTATTTTCTAATATAACACTTTGTGACAAATCTTGACATTGTTGTATATCCGGTTGAATTTCGCGCACAACACTTTCCGTACACATTTCTAACATATCCAAATCTTGACATTGTTGTAAATCCGGTTGAATTTCGCGCACTGCACTTTCCGTAGGTATTTCCAACATATCCAAATCTTGACATTGTCGTAAATCCGGTTCAATTTCTCGCACAACACTTTCAGTAGGCATTTCCAACATATCCAAATCTTGACAATGTTGTAAATCCGGTTGCACTTGGTTTACACTTTCACTTTCTACTTGATTTAAAGAATTTATTAACTCATTTAAAAATTCTTCATCATATTGTATGTTTGTTTCAACTTGACTTGGTGAATCCACTGGTGAAATGTCATCGTATTTTTGGTCGTAATCCATTATTTGCACACCGTTCTTCGATACTATTACTTGTTGTATTATATTAATATTTTCCATAACTTTACGTTTTAAAATTTGTATTTTAGGTTTCCCCATAACTCGAACAATCTCTTACACAATAATGATGCAAAATACGTTTTGCATGGGTTTATAAATAATGAGGGATGGTTAGAAACCGTTACAACATATGTATCTATAAAAAGATGAGGGTTAATTACTAATGCAAGCTACTAAAGGGGTACAAATTCAAACAAAGTCTATTTATTTTATGAATACTAATTTTTGCTAATTTGTAAATTTTATTATATATTTTATTTCATATAATAATTGCTCCTAGAACTATTTTTAAAACCCAAATATTTAATTTTATAAAAAACTGAATCTCCTTTAAAATTAAGAATATAATTATCTTTAATTAGGTGCATGTCTTGATTATAGCGTGTGAAGACCAGAAAGAAAAAACTACTTGAATGGAAAGTCGTTTGTTGTTGATGTTTTAATTATAGTAAAATTTCATTCTTAATTGTACACAACATGCAATGTTCAATAACAACATATTTTAAGATATAATTTATAATGAAAAAACAAAGTTACTTAGAAGCATTATTTATTTAAAAAATTACAACAATTCATTTTTTAAAATCCAAGAATTATGAGTATTGTCAAGCCCTAACCATTTTACATAAACTTTATTTCCTTTTCGCCTTAATATTTTTTCAATCAGATACACGTCAGGATGTTTAACTTTCTGCAACTCTTCTTCATAAAAACCACCTTGAATTTCTTCTTTTCTTTGATCTTCTAATTGATAGGTTACAGGATTAGTCATATTAACCTTTTTTATAACAAATATTTCGTTTGACTAGTTAGGTGTATATCCTTTGGAAAATAGCTCTCTATATTTACTTATTCTAACAAAATCACCAACGTTAAATTTTCGCCTACGTGGGTCAACTACTTTCATTTGACGATAAACTTTCCTTAAAATTAGTTTTTCATTATTCTTGGATATTTCATTGGGTTTAAATCCTGTAACAGAATGAATAGTATTGTTGTATTCATTAACAATTGGTTGTAATATATGTATCCACTTGTAATTTCCTTGCATACTAAATTTTTTCCACATTTTATTTTTTAATGTCCTGTTTACTCTCTCTACGATAGAAGCTTTTAAATTCGAAAACGTGCTATAGTGGTTAATATTATACTGCTGCATAAGTTTTTGAAACTTTTCGTTAAAAAAATCTTTTCCCTTATCTGTTTGTAGATTTTTCGGAGGGGTTTTAGCATTGATTAGAATTTTTTCCATTGCTGTCGCAACATCCTTGCCAGTTTTTGATTTAACCTGTTGAGTCCAGACATACTTTGAAAATACATTTATAACCACCAGAATATATCTAAACCCTTTGTTAAATTTAGCATAAGGTTGCATTTCAACCAAGTCCGCTTGCCACAAATCATTAAGCCCTTTTACAATAACTCGTCTTTTAAATTTTCTTCTAGCTGTCTTATGTAATTCGTTAACAACTTCATCCTTAATATTACTCATTTTGAATCTGTGACTTTAACAGCAATCCTAAATATATACTACGAATAGTTGACGGTTTAGCCTTTGGTTTTATGATGGAAATGTTGTCACCACTAACAAGTGTTTGTCCAATTAGATCAGTTGAACTAAATAGTTTGTTATTTATAAGAAATTCTACACTCATATTACAATCTACCCTAGTGACTTCCGACTCTGGTAATGGAAAGGGGAAAGTAATATTATCACCATTAATTTCATAATAGTATCTTTTTTCACCATTAGGTAATTTAATATTTTTTGTTGTATTACTAAGAATCATTGGTAGTATACAAAAATACGACATGTTAGTTTCTTTGAGAATATGAGTTCCAAATTTATTTACCGTCATGGTTAAAACACAACTGATAGTTTCACTTTATTAAATACGATATTTATAGTATTATTTGAGCTTCTCGTAATTCTTCAATAATAGAAATTATTTCATTATTATGACCAGTATGACCTGCACTAACAGACCCTATTAATAGTCGCAATCTATTAACCAATTCATTGATGTTATCCCAGTATACATAGTCTGTGTTAGATTTATACATTTTTAAAGTAAGCCCTTTTCCTTTCTGAATAGCAGCTGTTGCTCTGGTTGCTCTAAATGGAGCTTTTGGTTTAGCAAAGGCTTTAGTCAATCTTTCCAGTGAAGTAATTGTTTTAGCTTTTGTAATTCCTTTTTGTTGCAAGTAAGGTCCAATTATTGTTACATATTTATGTAATCCATTTCCTTGAACTTGTTCGTTTGGATCAAAATTTCTACGATATGCATATAAGTTCTTTTTCAAGATATCGCATAATTTTCTAAATCTTCCTTTTGTAAATTGATAGGTTCTTTTTAAAAAGTAATTCATATAAGCCGATCGTTCCGGGATATGTTATACCTTCCACATTAATATCTTTACCAATTATTTCTACAGGCTTTTGCGTTAGACCCAAAAAAAATTTATCTCTTTCGAGATCATGAATTATTCCATAATTATGATCAAACTTAAATTTGGTATCCTTCACACCTTCATCAATGTATGATCGTGGTAATTCATGAAAATATTCTAACCATTCTTGATACCCTGGAGTGTCAACATATTGAAGAATTGTTTCTTTAGTTTGTTCCAAAATATGAGATACATTTAGATTTTCTATCGTGCTTTCATTCGGTGTTTCAGCTAAAACACTAGTCTCTTGAACAGATGGTAACTGACTAATACTACTAGTGTTAAAAAAAGATGGCAATTCGGTAGGTAAAATAGGTGTACTCCCTGTTCTAATTTTCTCTTTTTTTGGAGTGGAAGACGTATAATACGTTTTTTCTTCTTCTTTTATCTCGACAGGTTCAGTTTTAGCAATAGTAGAAATTAGTTGTTGTAATGGTTGAGTGGATTGGTTGATATGTCTTTTTCCAGTTGTGACTGTGTAGAAGCTGCCTCCGACTTTAGTAGAATTTGATATTTTTCTCTAACTGCTTTTCTCGATTTAATAAGTTCTCTTGCCAAACGTTTATCCATGACAGACATATGAGAGAGACTGTATGATTTTTTTTTCATTTTTATAAGTATATAAACGAATCGAATTTTTGTCTATATCTGCCAGAATTTAATTCACAATCTATCAATTACAACAAATCCATACTCTTCTTTCCAACAATGTGCACAAAGTTGATCAAATGTCATATCCATCATACAATGGTCATTATAAATATGTTTCAAACTCATGTAATCTTGTTTAAATAAAATTAACAAGTTTGCATTTTCTCGTATAAGTCTTTTCAGAATTGATGAGTATCCTTGGAATATGAAAAACAATCCGTATTTTTATGTCTTCCAAAAGTGAAATAATCTCTAATAATATTTTGATTTTGACATGGAATATTATCAAATATTATTACAGAATTTGGTTTAATATTGTGAGGAGATACGATACTTTCTTCTTTATCATATTCATAGAAACCAATTTCTTTTATAGGTTGTAATAGGGACCTTAAGTACTCGTATTTTGGTTGATGTAAGGATTTTGAATATATGTATACATTTTCAAATCTAATTCCATTTGGGTGTTCAAGTAATGTGAGAATACAACTCGTTTTTCCGCTTCCTGATGCTCCTACTAGAAGACATCTTTTCGAACTACCAGAAAATAAATTACCATGTTTATTAAATTGTTTATTAGAAATATCATGGTTTTTTATTGGTAGGGAGAATGTTTGTTTTTCAATTCTCATGTTGAAGTGTTACTAACAAAACTTTGTTAAAGTATTTATAGGGATTACTTGATTATATTTTCTCAGTTTTGCAATGCTTGTACCTCATATAGGAAGGAAGCGCAAAGGTTACGGATTAGTAAACACATTTATTAATAAGCTCCCTGTTGAACTACATATACCAGGATATAATTTTTGTGGACCAGGAACACACTTAGAAAAAAGGATAAATAGGGGAGACGTTGGCATAAACACCTTAGATGATGCTTGTAAGGAGCACGATATAGCATACTCTCAGTCTTCCGATTTGTTAAGACACGACGCGCATAAAATATTAGCAGATAAGGCGTGGGAACGGGTAAAAGCAAAAGATTCCTCTATTGGAGAAAAAAGTGCTGCATTGCTAATAACAGGCCTAATGAAGGGTAAAAGAAAGCTTGGAATGGGTATAAAAACAAAAAAAGGAAAAACAGTTAAATTAAAGAAAAAACGTATTATTGAAAGTCCCAAAAAAATTGGAGGGTTTTTACCTCTTTTGTTACCAATACTAGGAGCATTAGGTGCCCTTGGCGGAGGTGCTGCGGTGATTGCCAAAGCAGTAAATGATGCAAAAGCATCTAAAGAACAATTAGAAGAAATGCGTCGACATGATATAGCAATGGAGACACAGGGAAAAGGCTTATTTATTAAACCATACAGGGGGAAAGGATTGTACATTAAACCGTATAAAGGAGGTTCAATTAAAAAGAAGACAATAAAAAAAAATCCGGTTCCCTAAAAAAGCGTTGACAAATATCGATTTGCTAAAATATACGAAAGAAATGTACCTCAAATTTTAGAGGTATTTTTATGCGTAATAACTTACCTAAAAAAATTAAAATAAATGAGAGCGGTATTGTCAATTTGGATAGTAAAGAGCACAAAGGCTCCCATTGGACAGCTTACAAGAAGAATAAAAGTTATGTAATATATTTTGATAGTTACGGAAATCTAAAACCACCTCTTGAATTGCTCAAATATTTTAATTCAAATGGAAAAGTGAACATATTTTATACTTATGAAACAAAACAGAAATTTAATACATACAATTGTGGACAACTCTGGTTTGCAAAGCATGTCAGTACAATGTCTACCACTATTGCGATTACAGGAAATTCCTCAATATTATCAGCCGATTTTAATCCACCTATTTACTTAGACGATGGAAAAGATTACTATTTAGGTTTGGCTGATTTTGAGACATTTATGAGTATACCTAATGTAGAAGAAGGGAAAAATAATAAAGTATACATATCAGATAAAATTATTACAATTCCGGAAGGTACTTATGACATCGTTGATATAGAAAAATACATTAAAAATGGTATTCGAGAAAATTTTGAAAAGGAATCTATTGGTTTTTCACTTAAGTCAAATACAAACACTTTAAAATCTCATATTTTTTGCACCAAAAAAATTGATTTTACAAAAACCGATTCAATAGGTAGTCTTTTAGGTTTCAAGAAAAGAGTGATTGAAGCTAATGTAATTAATCAGTCAGATAATGTAGTCAATATTAGTAAAGTTAACACTATTTGTATTGATTGCAACATTTGTGTAGGATCGTTTAGTAATGGTAAACCTGTACACATCATTCATCAATTTTTTCCTGCAGTAGCTCCAGGCTATAAAATAGTGGAATCCCCACTACCCATATTATATTTTCCCGTCAGCGTTAAAACAGTCAACAACATTACCGTAAAAATAATCGATCAGAACGGAGATCTTATTAATTTTCGAAACGAAACAATTACGGTTAGACTACATTTAAAAAGCGACAATAATGGTTATCAGATATAATAGACCAACACCACCAGCTGTTATTATTAAACGATATAAAAAGACTAAATCTAGTTGTAAGAATAGTATTAAACGATCCTCTGAGAAGCTAACACCAGAAAATCGTCAATTTCTCCAATCTTTGGGGTTTAAAGTCTTACAATAATGGATATACTTAATGTAACAGAAAAACTCTATGTAGACAATTCAATAGTTAGTACTGAATTACATACATATCAGCCATTGATCTCTTCGAAATTCGATTATAACGATGAAATACGAATACCAATTCAAGAACTTGATGCTTATACGCTACCTTCAGAAAGTCTTTTATATATTGAGGGAGCTCTTTTAAATAATGAAGGCAAATACACAAAAAAATTAAAGTTTGTTAATAACGGCATTGCATTTCTATTTAGAGAAATTCGCTTTGAACTTAACGGGGTTACTATAGATTCTGTAAGGAATGTTGGGTTAGCTTCAACTTTAAAAGGATACCTTTCTTTCAATACCAATGAGAGCATTAAACTGCAGAATGCTGGATGGTTCCCAGACAGAAAAGAAGGTGATAGAATCTTGGTAGATGACAATGGAAAATTTAATGTATCTATACCCCTAAAAATACTTCTTGGTTTCTTTGAAGATTATAAGAAAATTATTTTAAATATGAAACAAGAGTTGGTCTTAATTAGGGCTAGTAATGACTTAGATGCCGTTTTCTTTAAAGATGATACAACCCCTCCAACAACTACTGTTGAAACGCCAATGGTTTCAATTGATAAACTATTTTGGAAAATCCCTCATATTACAGTCGATATTCCTCAACAACTTGCTCTAACTAAGATATTAGAATCAAACAAAGAACTTTTAATTGGATTTCGAAGTTGGGAAATTATTGAATATTCCTCATTACCTGGAGACCACTCGTCACACATGGCCAGTAAAAACCACTAGTAAACTCGAAGCTCCTCGTCATGCCATAATTGCATTCCAAGAAGATAGAAAAGGACAAGTTACTAAAGATATGAGTCAATTTGATAATGTTGATCTAAGTAATATTCGAATCTTTTTAAATTCCGAAAGATATCCATATCATGACTTATATTTAAATTTTAAAGAGAACAAATATTCTGCTTTATATGAAATGTATGCTAATTTTAGACACTCTTATTATGGAACTTCTATTGAACCAATGTTTAATCCGGAAAAATTTAAGAGTATTTGTCCAGTTACACATATTGACTGTTCTCATCAAAAAGAATTCCTACAAACAGGATCTATTGTAATGAGAGTGGAATTTGAAACAAATGCTAATATCAAAAAAGAAACATCTGCTTATTGTCTGATTTTGCATGACAAAGTATTTAGTTATAACCCCTTAACAAAAATTGTAAAACCACTCTAATGCGCATACAACTCTAACTACATAAATATAGAAACTGATCAACATCAAATAACAGTATGAATACAGAACTGGAACTACGTGTGTCTGAATATTTAAAAAAATTAAAGAGATTAAAACAACAAATACAAAATTACACCAACAAAAAATCAATGTATATTAAATTTTCACGTATGAAAATATGAAGTTACTGGTGCTTGATGTTCAAGGATTTAAAGTAGAGAACAATCGATTTATTCCTAAAGAATTAGCAGCATATGATGGAAAAAAGATATGTCATTTCCTGTTTAAACGACCTTTTAATTTAAATCAGTTACCACCACACTTGGTCAAGGAAGCTAATTGGTTAATGCAAAATCATCATTGTCTTCCATGGTATAAAGGATATACCCCAATCCATAAGTTTTCCGATATCATCAAAAATATTACTGAAGAAGTAGACCATGTATATGTAAAAGGGAGAGAGAAAGCAGAATATATAAGAAAGTACTCATTAAAACCAGTGATAGAACTCGATGAAAACCCACCCATACAGCCAAGAGAACCTCAGTGTTCTCATCATTCAAAATCACCATCCATTTGTGCTCTAACTAACGTTTATTATTTGTATAATAATTTTTTAATGAATGAATAAAGCAAATATTTAATAACCTGAGTTTTATTTACTATCTGTACTAAACAACAACACACATATTAAAATACAACAAAATACAGCAAACAGACAGCACAATGCAGCAAACAGAAAGCAAACAGACAGCAAAATACAGCAAACAGAAAGCAAACAGCCAGCAAAATACAGTAAAATACAGCAAACAGACAGCAAACAGACAGCAAAATACAGCAAAATACAGCAAACAGACAGCAAACAGACAGCAAAATACAGTAAAATACAGCAAACAGACAGCAAACAGACAGCAAACAGACAGCAAAATACAGTAAAATACAGCAAACAGACAGCAAACAGACAGCGAACAGACAGCAAAATACAGTAAAACAGTTTTCTGATGGGATTAAATAAAACACACACATAAAATAAAAAAATTTATTCGTTTACATTTTCTTCAGACATATCTTTGGGTATAAATTTTTTGACTTCATTCAAAAAGTGGTTTAGATCCAGCTCCTTAATTCTATTTGTGAAAGTTTTCATATCTGATGTGTTTAAATATATGTCACAAGCTTCAACTCCCCTTCGATATTTTTTAGCAATTTCTTTACACTCTTCAGCAGTATAGAATTTCTCCATACCATAAACAGCTTCATGGTCCGCATCAAATTCTAAGTTTTCAAAATGCTCTTTTAAATTTTCGACAGCAGATATCAAGTCGTAGGCTGGTGTCACTTTTACGTATGCCATCCACATCTTGACTGAAAGATACTGAGTAAACTAGCGGTTTTAAGTACTAAATTTAAGTGGTGGGGGGAAATAAAATGGATAGTTGAATGAATAAATTTTATTGTTTAATGATACTTTTCACAAACTCATTGCATGCAAAAGTTTCTACATCTTCTATAACACATTCAGGATAAAATTGTAGTAACTCGAGTACACAGCAAACATTAGCACTGTTTGGATTAGGTGTGATTACATCATAAATATTTTTAATCAAATCTCCATTTTGCAGGGATAATCCACTAACGATAGTATTATAATATTTTGAAAATTCTTGAAATTTCAACATGTCAAAACGGTATTTCACCAAATTCACTAAATTCACAAGTTCGTTTATGGTATCACCAGCTAAGTATAATTCGTTTCCTCCGTCTTGAGTTATCTTGATAACTCTTGAATCACCCATAAAGATAAAATGTATCTCGTATCCATCTCCATGCATAGGTTGCCATCCATAGCTGTTGGAGTAAATAAAGCTCAACATAATCCCTTGATTGTTTAAAAATGAGATCCACTGATCTTCATTGAAAAGTATATGTTGATTGTATTTGTATCCTCCAAGCTTAATTACTGGAGTATATTTCCTTTCCAATAAAAATCCAACGCTAACCCATTTGGATCTTGATTTATTAATATAATATACTGATTCACTAATTAAAATCTCGCTGCGCTTATTTCTAAATTCTTCAACTTTTTTAATTTGTTTATCGAGCGATACATTAGTTGATAGCTGGTTGTAAAAGTTTGCCTGATACATTTTAAGGTTATATTAAGAGCAGTGTTGTAAACAGAATGCTTGCAAATATTTTTGTCACTGATTAAATAACCAAGAACAAAATGGAAAGGGGATTGTATTGATGGGAGGATACAAAATGAAACGGGGTTATCGTTATTAATTTATCTTTGTGAAATACCAAAAGAGAATTGAAACTACCAGTAATATCACTAATACACCGGCTAATGTAAAGAGTATGGTGTATGAATAATCAGAGTTCTGTTTTACATTGTGAAGAGAACAATTTGTTGTTTTAATTTCGTACCATGAAGAAAATATTCGAGATCTATTTGGATAGACGTGCAAAATTTTAAAAAATGTATGATTAGTGGTATTTAAATCATAAGAAAATACATTCATATCATTTATTCGGGAAAAATTCATAGGTTTATAACATTGTGGATATGTTTCTATTTTACTCTCATTTAAGCAAATATATTGAAGGTATACATTTGGCGGTTTATGTACATATAGGATATTTCCCAAGATGGAGAATAACAGTATTGCCTTTACTGCTTCCATTTTAGAAGGGATTCAGCCGTAAACTAATGAAAAATTAAACAATTTTATATTTTTATATACATTTATTTTAATAATTTTATATACATTTAATATAATACATCATCATACATTATACTGTTTAAAATATCTACAGCATCATTAACATCTTTATCATCAGTAGTACTCGCATTTTTATGCCTCCAGGCTAAAGTTCTAAAACTTCCAGGAATTATACATCGCTTGTCATCATTAGGTGATAATACAATTTTATTTTTTAATTGTGTATACATATCATGCATTATTGATTTAAAAATATTCATATTTCTAAATTTAATAATAGAATTTTGAACAACGTCTTTATAATCTTCTGAAGTAATAGAATTTTGAATTACATATTTTTTTACTCCCTTTGCTTTTCTCTCAGATTTATTTTCTAGATTTACACAGTAAGCCTTTGCTCCTGTTCCATAAAAACTTAGAATAGGTTTACCAGCAAATTCATCCTTCATTCGACCCAAGACAGATTTATTTTTAGTTATTTTATATACATTATTTTCATCATAGTTGGATGTATCAAATTTATGTAAATTTTCTTGCATATCTTGGTAAAAATTTTCTGTTTTTACATATAACACCAAACTGTCTGTATCGGTGTACAATAAAATTGCATTTTCACCATATTTATTTTTTATATAATCGTAATAAAATTTATAAATAACACTTTTTGATAATTCTAGAACACTGAATCCAATATATATTGGTTTATCATAAGATACTTTCATTCTTCCCATTTGAATTGCAACCAGATTTTCAGTAAAAACCAACGAATTTTTAAAATTAGGTTTAGCAATTAATGTTTCTGCTTCATACTGTTTACCTTTATTTTTCCAGTGAGTTATCAGTTTAATATCCACACGTTTATCAACATTTTCCAAAGATTTACCATAAATAGAATTATTAAATAACTTATAACAATCCTTTTCTAGTTTGTTTTTAGATTTATTTCTCATTTCAGTATTTAGATCAATATATGGTTTAAGAAACGGTGACTGTCTAAATTTAATTGCTCTATGAATTTTTATTAATTCAAGACCATTTTTTAGCGCCTGCTGAAGATTTTGATAGTGGATTGTATACTTTTCTTTGTTTTCTAAATTGCAAATTAATTTTTTTTCAATAGAACCAGGTGCACAAATATTTTCAGCCAAAAATGGTAATTCATTGTGTTTATCATGTAATTTTTTTGGATAATTAATATCTACTTCAAATACATAGCCGTAATCTGAATATTGTGATATAGACATTATATCAAGATTTTTAATTTCATCTTTTGATAACCAAGTGAAATCTCCTACAGGCAGGTATTGGCTCATACTATGTCCGTACAAGTTTGTTGCATCTAAATACATAATATAAGAATTGTGTTTTGAAGAGTCAAAATTTGGAATAAAAGGGTTATTAGCTTCAGCTTTTCGAACACTACAGTGACAAATACCACCTCTTATACTATTTTTAAAAAAATAAATCATGTCAATATCAGTCAACAATTCTAATTTTACATCTGTTGTTCGTAACATCGCATCCCAACTTAAACCTGGAGCTGTATAGTAATGAGCCGGATCCAAACAATAGATGTTCATAGACACATTTCGAAAGGCTTCAAAGAAGTCTGTTAATATTAGAACATCAGACACAAGATAAATTTTTGTATAATCCATTAAATTTTGACAATTGAATAAATTCCACACATTAATGGCTCTATCATAATCTTTTTGATCAATAGGTTCTTCTCTAAGTGTATCATAAAAATTATCAATACTTGGTAGTTTAGTTTCATATAATTTATCAATAGAATTCACATATGAATAAGGATAAATTCCCTT